TGATTTGACAAGTTAACATACTGTTTGCACATGTCATCATGAAATTTTGACAAGTTAGCATGGCATTTGCAAAAGTCATCATTATACTTGGACAAGTTAACATGTCGTTTGCACAAGTCATCAAGATACTTGGACAAATTAACATGATGTATGTACATGTCATAACGATAATTCGACAAGTTAACATGCTGTTTACACATGTCATCATGGAATTTTGACATGTTAGCATGGCATTTGCACAAGTTATCATAATACTTTGACAAGTTAACAGTACATTTTGACATGTCAGCATGATACAAGATAACATGTCATTTGCACAAGTCATCACTATTCTTTGACAAGTTCACGTGTAGTCTTCACAAGTCATCATGGTAATTTGACATGTTCACATGCTGTTTGCACAAGTCATCATTATACTTTGACAAGTTAACATGCTGTTTGCACATGTCATCACAATAATTCGACAAGTTAACATGTCGTTTGCACAAGTCATCATTACATTTTGACAAGTTACCATGTCGTTTGCACAAGTAATCATTACAATTGACAAGTTACCATGTCGTTTGCACACGTCATCACGATACTTTGACGAGTTAGCATATTGTCTGCACATGTCATCATAATAATTTGACAAGTTAACATGATGTTTGTACAAGTCAACATGTTCCTTTGACAAGACATGATGTAAATTGCACATGTTAACATGCTCAAACGACAAAATAATATCATCGTTTCACAAGATAACAAAATTTTGTTTACATAAGACAGTCACGGCGTTCCATAATAGTATGTCAAGGTAAAACAACTTTGATGTTTTTTTATGACGTCGTCACAGCATCCCTATAGGAAATAAGTGTATTAGCGACACGACCGAATTTATCAAACGTCTTAGGCGTTTAAAGTTTTCATTTTTGCAAAGTCTATATACAATAAAAGGTAGTGAAAACGTATTTTTGCAACACTGAGGAAACACTCCTGGTAAAGGAAAGTTTACGCTATTGACGTCGTAGAGTTGTAGTACGCCACAAGAATTTACTGAAGACCCGTAAAAGGTCGCATTCAAACGTCATGTCAGTGCAAAATAAACAAACAAACAGCAAAAAGAAAAGGGGGAAAAGACGGTTTAAGAATGTCAAGTCGGTTTGACGGATGCATAAGAACCAAGGCCTTAAAGCTGCATGCCTCCAGATAAGCCAAAATATTTCAAGAAAATTAAACTTGTTGAGAAAAATGTTCAAGGATTAAACAATGAAGAAAATAATTCAATATTCAAGTAATAATTTACATGTTATGTGCGATTTATGACTAATTTTGCAGTACATGTATTTATCACCATGGTTTTTTTCTACTGCGTGATTATTTTTGCTTATTTTCAATATCACCTCGTTTTGGTAATGTAAGTGGATTGTAAATGCTGTTTGCCAAAAGTTACTTACCATCTTTGTTCACTTCTCCATATTTCACTTTTAAATACATTTTCAAAATTTTCATGACATCAAATGATTAAGAATGAAATCTGGAGGTATGCTGCTTTAAGGCGACGCGTTCTCACAGACAGCTTACTCCCGGAAGTGTCATCATAAATGTTGGTTCAGCTAAAAAGCAAGTATCAATTGACTCTTCTCACACTCTTGTTACGTGCATAGATATGAATATCACGTTTAACATTTTTTTGAAAACTAGAAGTGGGATGCGGGAATTTTGTACACAATTATACACAAGTATTAAAAGTACATTTCATGACGTTTTTTTCTTGACACAAGATGTTGTGCCTGGAAATATTACTTGATCCATTTGTTGGTACTGCTTATTAAATAAATAATAAATATCGTGTCCTCTTTCTTTCATTGGATTTTTTATATTTCATTCAACAGTGCTATAAAAGGCAAATGTCACGTACTTCATATATTTGTTAAAGTGAATTGGTCTATGATGGAATGTCTGTAATACAATAGACAATATTGTTGATAGTATTTAGTATCAGATGTAACAAAAAATGAGCCGCGTCACGACAAAACCAACATTGTGCGTTTGCGACCAGCATGGATCCAGACCAGCCTGCGCATCCATGCTGTTCGCTTACAAAGTCTATAACAAGTAGTGAAACTGATAGCGTATAGCATGGATCCAGACTGCGCGGATGCACAGGCTGGTCTGGATCCATGCTGGTCGCAAACCCATTATGTTGGTTTTGTCGTGACGCGGCTCAAATTACGAAATTATTATTTTTGGGTGTTATTGGCATTGTAGATACATGTACCGATATTATATTCATTTATATAGCAGATTATACAATGTTCCGGAACAAAATATTGTTTTTCATCATGCTATGCCATTTCCAGAAAACGTTAAGTTGTTATAATTGTGTTTGATAGGTAGTTGTTGCTGAGTTTCCCAGTTAGCGAATTCAGCGTTGAAATTGACCGTTCATCGTGAAACAAATTACTTGTCCTTCAATTTTCATATAAACATCGATTCAGATTAAACAACAAATTCGTTTCAAGAAGATATAAGCTTTAAAGATGAAATAAGATTGAAAACTGATCAAAACATTAGTTAATAAAGAAAATATAGGATATTTGTTCTGGGAGACAGCTCTGTCGTGAAGGAGGTAGTCATGTCGCTAAGGAGATAGCTCTATTAGTTCAAAGGGGACCAAAAATGATATGGGTAAAGAATGTAAAAGGTTTCCGGTGAAAAAGATCTTTAGGATGTTATTATGAAGAAAGAAATAGAAATATGATATGATAGTTGCGACAAGAAATATTTATTGAGCTTTTGGTGTATTTGTTTTTAAAGGTTTCGAGAAGATTTTTTGTTCTGTATTTAAAATGCCCGGTGAGTTGACATTTTAGCTAACGTACTAGTATCTACATTGTTTCCAGCTAGTCTTTTTTGTTCGTTCAACACCTTGAATATTCAATAACGCAGTGTAGTGCAAATTATGCAGGCATTGTGAAAAAATAATGCAGAATTGTGCAATTCTGTGGCCCAAACGAGCACCACGGAAAGAAAATGACCTAATATCTTTATTGTACATGAAACTGAAAGAAGTGAGTTAGCGCATACGGTTGCTGAGACATTTTTCTTTAAATATCATCAAAAATCTTTTCATGACAATGTTTATTTTTCAAGATCATTCGTGAGAATCTCGATATGACTTGAATTTCGTCGTATCTTATAATACAATATCGTAGACTATATACACGTATTACACTATTGATTTTTATATTCGGTGTATGCAAAGCTACTCGTGTCTGGATATATGTAGTCATCTTAATCGGACAAATATTTACTATGTTAATGTTTTGTAAGTTTCTGTACAAAAAGTTAAAATCTATCTAAAGGGATTTTAATATAACTTAGAAAAAATTCTCCATTGTGAGGCGAAATGTCGTGCCAAAAAATCAAGTATCTCTGGCAAAGCACAAGGTCACGCTTAGGGGGTCAAAGGTCAAATAGCAAAATAAAACATACTTTGCGAGTATAACTTCTATACACGAGATGGATGGATTTTAATTTAACTTAGAACAAATGTTCTCTATGGTGAGCTGAGTAGTCTTGCACAAAACGAAGGTCAAGGTCACAAGAGGTCAAAGGTCAAACAAAATAAAACATACTTTGCGAGTATAACTTCTATACACAAGATGGATGGATTTTAATTTAACTTAGAACAAATGTTCTCAATGGTGAGTTGAGTTGTCTTGCACAAAATGAAGGTCAAGGTCACAAGATGTCAAAGGTCGAATAAAAATATCATAATTTGGTTGTCTGCACTGTATCTTGCTTATGCTTTGGAGTAGTATGCTTAGTGGTCGAGCCCGCTTGCGCTGAGCTCGGCATAGTTGTCAAAATTAATGACTGTTCAGTGTTTGTGTATAGGTTTGTGCGTCCAAACTTGTCCATGTCATAACTTCTTCGTGCATGGAGGAACTTTCAAATTACATGAATTTAGTTTTTAAGCATAAATGTTCATCATGAGACTGTGTCATGCAAATGAACCAGGTCGCAGAGTTAGAGGCCAAGGCCACGTAGGATGATGCAATGTCAAGAATTTTCCTTGGGTAATAATGAAGAGGATGTGATGAGCACATCTCACCTATGTATACTCAGTGTTTTTTTTCTTTATATATCTGCTACCCTAAAACGGCACCATTCCCAATAGAAAATAGACATTAAAATTCCCAATTTCCAATGTTAAATTCCTAAAATGACTGTTCAAAATGCCCACAAGGCAAAGTGATTTTTCTAAAATCATTTAAATCCAACATATTCATATAAATCACCACTCAATAGTTCTATCTAGACAGTAGAAGCTGTTAGCTATCTTTATTCATGATGTCTAATCTCATTTGTAGCTGAAAAAATGCATTAAAAAATTCCCAATTTTAGTCAAAATAACGCATTTTTTCCCAATCAGTCTGGTACCGGCACCATTCCCAAAGTAGAGAAAAAAAACGCTGATACTCTACATTTTTCTCCTTTATCTGAAGCTTATATAGGTTCAGGTTTGAAATGAGACGAGCGGCTTCGATATTATGCCCTCGGGCATGTTTCGTTAGTTCTAAACCTTGTTAAATTTGTTTGTGGTTTTGTTTCGGTTGGGGACTTGCAGCCTTTAGGTATTTTTATTCGATGACAAGTGTATGACAAATAAATGAAATATTTTGTACAGATTAAGCACAAACATACTTAAGAATGCTATCGTTTTATTGATATTTTTTGCACATGCTTAAAATAAGTTGCCTCCCTCTCCGTATATAGCGTTTTAAATAAATCTAATTTGATGTGTAGGTTGTACTTTTATAATAGTTACACTGTGTCGGTTGTAAGTAAGACGAAAGAACAACCACAACAACAATTTCTTAACACTTCTCAGTGAATGAATCGCCATTAGCCTATAACTATGCTGAATAAAGTTGAATGTTGTTATAATATTTTAATTATTCTTACAGATAACTAATTTTTGTTTTCAGGGCAAAGTACAATAAGTAAACCGAATCATACAGCCCCTTTCATCAGGATCTCCAAAAATGATGCACGTGTGTGCTGTAGCTTTAACATTTTTATTTCTCGCTCTGGTGTTCGAGATCAACGCATGCGACGAGACTTTAGATATATTTCCTTGCACATGCGCAGTCATGCTTGGAAAGATCGTAGTTGATTGTTCTGGAAATGGTTTGCGAACGGTACCAGCAACTTTACCGAACCAGATGTCGGTGCTGGATTTCTCGGATAATCTGTTACAACCGGACACCATTGAAACTCTGTGTAATCACGGTACTATAGAGCATGTATCAATTGCTGGTAATCATTTAACATCAATTGAACCAAAACGCCTTAGGAGATGCGACGTCAAGGGAAGTATAGATTTTAGCCGTAACCCTCTTAACGTTGTCAACAAATATACCATATACGGACTGGAATTTACCCCTGCTTTGTATGGACTAGAGGCACGAGAATTCAAGGAAAATACTTTCTTGGACATGTTTAGCCTAAAGAATCTTGATATGATAACACACCAGAACCAAATTCCTGTTAATCTTTTTAAAAAGAATCATATTGTTACGTTAAAAATGGACATAACTGGTGCAACAGAAATTCCGGAGAAATTATTATCTCCCCTTAATATGACGCTGGCGAATGTAACAATAAAAAGTCAGTCGATACAAACAGTACCTGCAGAACTGCTGGCTGATTTAAAGACGGTAAAACAATTTTCCCTTCAGGTTAATAACCTCCATTCTATCCCGTCAAAGTTCTTTCAGAAACAGACACTATACAAAACAGTTACGAATATATCTTTAACTGGTATTAAGAGTTTACCGAGACGCGTATTTTGGCAACTCGGTCATCTTCGCTATCTGGAAATTCACGAGACCGTTGATATGCCGTCAGATCTGTTCTCCAGGCTGCTCGGGCTCGAGGCTCTCGATCTCTCGGAAAGTTCAATAAACACCATACCGAACAAATGGTTCCATGGCTTATGGCATCTACGGAGTTTGAATCTACATAATGTCGGACTTTCTTGGTTAAAGAAAGAACACTTTAAAGATCTGCACGCATTAGAGAAAATAGATTTATCGAAAAACAGGTTGCGATCACTCGGTCCAATGTTGTTTCACCATATCAGCGGGAGTGCGAAATTTATCAATATCAGTGAAAATATTTTGGAAAAGGTACCGAATAATCTTTTCAAGCAGAACGCTACGTTGGAACACCTTGATATCAGCAGAAATCAGATATCTTCAATAGAAAGCGAGGCGTTCATTCATTTATCGGAGTTAAAACGCCTGCATTTACAACGTAATGAAATTTACAAACTACACGCTGCCACATTTGTTGACAATGTAAACATGATTTATCTAGATATTTCTTCAAATATACTAATTGATTTACCTGTAGGTCTGTTAGGTAGCAGGCATTCGCTGTTAGTTTTTAATTTGTCTGACAACCGCATTAACAACTTAAAGAGATCAATAGCATTCTACGGACCTACTCTACGTGAAATAAACTTCATGAACAATCCAATTGAGTGCGATTGTGGAATAAAGAATGTGAAAAAATTGCTGCCAAATGCTTTGATAATTGGCTATTGTGAAAACACACAATCGGGAATTGCTATTGTGGATTTCCCGAACGATAATTGTTCCGCGGAAAGTGATGCATATTCGTTTATAACAAAAATCGTTTCTTCTAATTCAACAGAGTGGGAGTCCAAGTTGATAATAAGCGCTAATGATGCTATAACAAGAGTTACGCTAAATTCAATATTATCCACTGCCACACCAGTGAGCATATATTATCCGGAGATCGAAACTTCTGTTTTACGGATTAACTCGACTCATTCAAAAAACTCAAGTAAACCGACCAGGCTTAACGTTTTACCTATTACAAAATATAATGTATCGGATTCTAGCGCTACGTTTTCTATCAGTGAGAAATTTACTCCTACACCTGTCCATAATACGTCAAAGTCAGCGATAAAGAAATCAACAAGTGTAAAAGTTAATGATTCACGGGTGGATTCGGATGATAACGTTTTGGATATAAATGCGAATGAAAAATCATCAGATTACCGGAATACTGTATCGATTGAATTCACAAAACCGGTGGAAAGTGTAAAATATAAAACTGAAATTTCGTCTGCTGTGGTCAAACCAGAACCGGAAATAAATGAGGGAACTATTTCCGCTATTACACCGTCTGCAACGCTACAGACAAGTTTTAAAACACTGAAAACGGATTCTAGTCAGGCGGATATTTATATTTACCCAACGGGCTATTTTGAGACATTGCATACGAAAACTGTTGTAACCAAATATGATGCAAGTAAATCTGAATTTGTAAAGATTATTTCTCCAACAAGCGTCTACCGTACACAGACAAACGATGGTCAAACAATGACCGGAGGATTTCACAATTCAAGTGAAACATTTGAATACAGTCCAAATGCCACAGTCATTTATCCGAACCTCGGTTATGGAAACATCACCAACAATCCCGAGATGGCAGGAAGTGAGGAGAGATCGGGTTACTTCTATTTGTCCTTGGGAAGTATAATTTCTGTCGCGGTGTTTTCAGTTTTGATTCTCGTTGTCTTGTATTTTAAACGACGGAGAAGTGATGAATTTGTTATGGGCACAAGAAGGAGTGCGAATATTTATGATATTGAAGATTCGTTTAACGAAGATGACCCTGTGTCGCCTAGAGAATCATCATGTCCCCTGAAGGAAGTGCCATCCATCCAGATTGAAACGGTAGACGATGACGGTAATGTCAAGTTAGAATATTACATTCCACCAAAGAATCCTTCTTGAAATTATGTTTCTATTTAGTTTTTTAGTGTTACATTGTTGCAAGTTAAAAAGTTATTATCAGATTATTTGGACTGATTCCTTTGGCTGGAGAATAATTGGTTTTCTATATGCATACTATATAATAAGTGCTTTGATTTATTTTTGTGACATATTTTGTGAAGTGTTCTTTTTTCAAATTAATTTTACAATACCAGTTGAGAGTAAAAGTTTGCTTTTATTTACACATTGTTTCTGTAAAAGCCTTTGTGAGTATACCATTTTCAAAAATTTCTATTTCAAAAGTAGATTTTATACAGGTTTTTAAACGCGTGAAAATTACAAACTTCATGTATGCCTATAACATTAAGGAAATTGATATCCAGAAATTCCGCGCCTACATATAAATCATTGATATCATTCTTGTCTCTTTGAGATCTCGTCAATTCTCGCCGCCTATACAACGAGATGTTTTGCATTGCTGTTGTTGGCTGATAAATTCGTGATTTTTATGCATCTTAATTTGACAGTATTGGTGAGGACCAAAGGTCCTCTTACCGAAATTGCCAGGTTACAAGAGATCGGGTGAAATTCCCTTTTAAAACTTTTTACAGCATTCAAAATTGTGATATTCATTAGAATGGGCAACATTTGCGATTGTTAACTATCCTTACTGCATTCGTGATTGTTCACTTCCCTCACGGCATTTGCGATTTTAAACAACCCTTACAGCATTCGCGATTGTTAAATACCCTCACAGCATTTGCGATTGTTGTCTGTCTTCACAGCATTCGCGACTGTTAACTTCTCTAAAAACATTCGCGATTATTACCTACCCTAACAGTATTCGCGATTATAAAATACAAGCACAGTTTTTGCGATTGTAAACTACCCGCACAAAATTCCCAATTGGTAACAATCGTTAAACATTTGCGATTGCAATTCATCACCACGTCATTTGCGATTGTAAGACACCAATACCCCTAAAAGAATTCACGATTGTTAACTTCCCTCGCTTATCAAAGCATTTGCGATTGTTGAATTACTCAACCCCTTGCAACATTCGCGAATGTTATATACCCCAATAGCAATTGCGATTTTTTAGATACAGACACATTAAAAAATATGAAATTTAACGGCACTCGGTTACCATAACATTCATTGATCATATGATGATTTCATCAAGAAAATTGTTGTCAGAGTGCAACAAAAGAACTTTTTATACACCGTATTGATTTTGCTCAAAGAAAATACATTCCATGCCCAGTAATATTTCCTTGGAAGAGACAGTATTCTAAAACGTGTAAGCTATATTTCAAATTACACTTAATCAAAATATTATTTATTCATATCAAATGTGTTCATCTTTATTGCTTTTGAGACAAAATGAGTTCATCATTCATTTTATCACAAAAGTTATTACATTCTGAAAGGAAATAATTGATATTTCTTCAAGGAAAACATGCTCTGTTTTTTTTCCACCACTTTCTATTCTATGTTGCTTTTTGTGCCAACTACATATGATTTTAATCATACGAAAAGTTTGTTTACAAGTTTAATTATTGAAGATAATGTAATTTCTTTAATAATTAATTATGGTAACTTGAAGAATTGAATTTTTACCACATTTTGTTGTTATTTTCATCCTCCAATGCGCTGTTGGATAAATACGGATTCATTAAAAAAAGTATTGCTCAGAGAACTTCTGTATGCACATATATTTTGATTGTATTATGTACTGTATGTTTGTGCGATTGTGTACATGTATTTCATAACAAAAATAAACAGAGCGATTTAAAAACCAAGAAATGATTTTTTATTATGATTTTCATGCAATTTTAATTTTATATATTTCCATAAATCTATTTAAACTGCGTCATGATTAGGAAAATTTCGGACTTATCTACTAGTAGGAAATCACTACGATTTTTGTATTCTCCTTTTTTTCTTTAAAAAAAATATAATTTATTCAAAACATTTACGTTAAAATTTACACACTTGTAACATTTTCTTCTCATTAAAGACATGTACAACACTATGAAATGTAAAGTTCGGAGTTAAAACTGATTATAAACATGATTTTGAAAAAAGAAATCTTGCAAAATTGTCATGAATTAGACGATGAAAGTGTAGTGTCGCAATTGTTGAAACGAAATTCTTTTTTATTCTTAGAATTTAAGGTGTTTTTCAAGGAACTGTTTTACTTTGTTTGTTTGCATATTACTTTTTTTATGTCATAATATTGATTTTATTCAATCTATTTTAAGACATTTGATCCATAAAATGCTGAAATAAATTGTTATAACTTTTCATTTTTCTAGCGCTAACTTTTTGTTCAAACGAGATTTTAGTCACCCCCCTCATGTAGACGCACAGATGTTTTTGCTCTAAAGACTACAGAAAGTGTCGAAAATATATTCCTAATTTTGATGATGTGTTTTTAATCTAACTTAACCATATCTGAAAAAAAAAACAAAAAAAAACATAATTTAAAATGTACGCTAGAAGCCATAAGATGGAAGGATTGTTTCCTTCTTTTTTATTGTTACATTTGGTAAAACTTTTGAATAACATCTGAAGTCACTTACAACGCAGAAGAAATCTATTATTTGACGAGACCTTTAAGATTATACGAAGCTAAAATACATGCAAAGTTGCGTGTTGGAAATAAATCGGGCCAAATTGGAATCAGACTGACTTTTTCCTTAGGCTAATTGGCAGGAAAAGTGTGGTTATATAGTGTTGTAGAAGTCATGTTGCACGAAATCATCGTGCAATAATCATTATACTTAATATAGGAGATAAAAATAAGAAGCATACTCCTTATACACTCTTGAGAATTTCAAGCACATATATATCGGTACAACAAGGTGTTTTGTCTTTATTCCTCACACAGCAGGGTTTAGTCGATAAAATACCTGCTTTTATAAACGAGAGACAATTCCAGAAATCTATTTTTCCGTGAACTGAACTTTACAGCTTGATTCATATAAATAAAGAAACAAATTTAATCCTATTTTGCTTTTGTCAAGTCTTGTTTAGAAAGATAATACTTCTTTTAATTATACTGTCTTAGAACAGATGTTGATTCATGGCATATTAACATCAGATATCTGCAACTACGAAACAGTTTCTTTTTTTACAAATGAAACGAAGAAGAAAAAATCCCTGAAAAAATAAAAGTTTTTCACAATCATTATAAGTTGCAGAGAAGCAAATGTTTTTGTAAACACTAGTAAATTAGACTTCGCTAGAGTAAGCCCGGATTCGTTCTATCCCCCCCACCCCACTCACACCCATCATCTAAAACGAGTCTTTGTTACTGACGAATTTTGGAATGTGATTGTATATTTGTAAACATTTAGACCAAAATGCCAAGTCCAAACAGTATGTATGTTATATCTATGTTGGGCATGCCGTTTGACAGTTTATAGCTTGTATACAACAGTGTGATTTTCATCAATTTGCAAGGTTTCTGTAGACGTATTTTGAATGTTTATAATGTATATATTTTTGCAGGTATATTTTGTTATAAGTATAATAATTGTGTAACAACTGATAGGTGGTCTGAGTAGGTTAAAACTTAAACTACATACGTTTTTTGATTATTTAATAATATTGCGACTTTTCATCTTTGATAGAAAAAACAAGATACATAATGTCTTTCTTGTATTATTTCATGACATGCGTGAGTTGACAGATGAGTAGAGCCCCCATATAGTAATTTGGCAGGATAGCTTTCTCACATAAAGTAATTATATGACCCTTGCGGGATTCAAACCCACAACGGTAAGAGGCGAGAGAGCTTAGCATACCGTGATCACATAATTACACTTAATCCTAAGCCTACAAGTGATTACTGAATCTTCCCAAACGACCAGTGCAAACCCAGAACAGCCGGCACATCCTTGCCATCCGGTCATTGTCTTTACTGTTCGCATTTCAGTCAATACAAATCTTGATTTTTCTTCCCCAAAAAGTGATGATTAAAAGATATGATAATCCATTTAAGATATTTTGAATTATAAGGATTATTCAATTACAATCATATGTACACCTCTATGTACCTTTCTCATTATGTACCTTATTCATTGATGAATGCTCTTTAGATTTAGAAGTTTATCGTTTAAACACTATGTATATGTTTAAAGTTTATATGATTCATCAATACTGTTGGATTTTTTATGCTGATTAATGAATTTTTGCTCATCTTTACGTTAAATAGCAAGTGTCAATTTTGTGGTTATGTTTGAATCCCATTGATTGCTAATAACATAGAAATGCGTCAATCATGTCCCCATATTCACGTGGGCTTTATAAATTAACTCTAGGCCATCATTAAAATATTATTTGTTTTCTACTACTACTAGTACTACTTTTTTCTTCGGGTATGTAAGTAGATTTTGTTTAGTTTTTCTTTCTTTTTCTTTCTTCTTTTTTAAAGGGGTGGGGGAGGGGGTATTTGTTGTTTTGTTTTCATTTCATGTAATAAATTTATATATTTGATACAATGCTATATTTGTAGTTTTATTTTTCATTCATGTAATGTAATTAGAAGAAACATGTAAACTACATGTAACATCTAAATAAGGAGTGGTAATCGTGCTTCAAGTCACTGCTAAAAAACATCTTCATCAAAGAGCAAAGAAAATAATTTTCGAGTCGAAGCTATTTTTCAATCTTGGGTAGAGCGCAACTGTAAACCAAGATTTTGTTTAATGATGGTCTTAGTCAGCGGGGTTTTTGTACGTATAATGTTAACTTCCCATCGATCTTTGTTGAAAATATTGGAACGATTTTCGTCATGAATAGGCTATCCCTTATAATAAGGTTAATACATACATGTTTGATGAAAAGTTTGAGCAAGTGGGTGTGAATTTTATAAATGAAAGAGAGAGAAAAAAATGCACGTTTTGATGTTTTATGAATGTATTTATTCCAAATCGATTTTATTTGATATTTTCTGTTAACATGTCCATGTTTTTTTTTTTTTTTTTTCGTTATGGTATAATTGAAATGGCAGTGTGTTTCCCATGCGAGCATTTAAATATTTCATGACGGGAAGCCTTCCTTTATATTTTCATATAAATGAACAAAATAGATGAATCTATTCGTGGCTAATGACATTTTCTCAAAACGTATGAGTCTTTCTGTATAGTCTATTGATTCAACACTAAAACAAAGAAAAAACATATATAGTTTATCAATTATGAATAACCGCGGATTCTGAACGATTTTCACGTTTTTTTCCCCGTTATTTCATGCATAACTGAATGATTTCCATTACCAGATGCCCATAAATCAACGAGTCTTAAAAAAAGAAATTCACTGTCGTAATTGTTAAATCGCACGTTTAATATGTTAGAAATGAAAGGTTAATGCTCTTTTGTGAAAAACTATTTTTTATGTTAAAGGAATGTGAAAAAATGATAAGATTGTATTTAATGTGCGGCCCTCAAACGTTTATGTAAATAATGAAAATAGATTATGCATTATGTGCACAAATCAAAGTTAATAAATATGTTTACTTTTCTGGGTTTTCTTATCAATGCTTTCGCTTATCATTTATACTTCAATTACAACCTGGGAAAGTTACGCAAGGGAGATAATTAGAAATGACTTGAAACTGTAAAGGCATATTAGCGATGATATAAGTGCGGTGGTGACCCCAGCCCTGTGGCATAAATGTAAGCTTGTCGACTTAATTCTCAATGAATAAAGTAAGCATACGAAAAATGGCGAAATTTGTCGAATTTTCGCGATATCGCTGTTTCTGATTTCGGATAAGTCACCTTCATTAAGTAATAAATAAAATATTTGACCATTTTGTTATTCCTACTTTAATTGACTGCTCAAGAAACGGCTAAAATTATTCCCAAGTCAATTGGCTGCACACGGAACTGCTAAAGGTATTCTCCATTAATTTGCTGCTCCAAGATCGGCTAAAATTGCTCCTAATTCAATTGGTTGCACACGGAACGGCTAAAGTTATTCTTCATTCAATTTGCTTCTCAAGGAACGGCTAAAGTTATTCTTAATTTAATTGGCTGCTCACGGAACGACTAAAATTATTCCTTATTCAATTGACTGCTCACGGAACGGATAAAATTATTCCTAATTCAATTGACGGAACGGCTATTCTGCATAGCTATATGTTTTGTTATCGACCAAGAAATTCATTGTAGAACATTCCGATGAAATATCCTCTTAAATTTAAACCATTTATTTAACCCTGAAAACTTATCCAAATTCATAAATTATTGACCTGTTTGTAACCTACAGGTAAACGCTACTGTAGAAAAGGAAATCATTTCATGTAAATTACATTGCTCTAGAAGATAAAATGTAGAAAAAATATCCTCCTCTGTCCTTATTTCCGTGCACGCGACCGTCAGCATGGACATGTACACCGTTGCATCACCGAAACGATGAATTTGATCAGTAAAAACGAAATGAAAAAGTTGTTAATATTAAAGAGATCGATCTAAACTAAAAGTCATTTTATCTAATATTTTGTTCATTTTTTGATAAATATTGTGACTAAATTTAGCAGTCGACTCGATGAATGTTCATGAAAGTGGTTAAGAAATAAGATAGATAGATAATTTTATTGACGTAAACAGTACAGGTTTTTGTCATACAATTGCATATACATAAATATCATAATTTGATCATGTGATTTAACAAACAGTGGACAGTTAAGAAATAAGACAAGTATAGTTGCTTTGAACGATTTACTCAAACATTTAAGAAAACAGCTGAAAAAAAGCAGACGAGATGATTTCTCTGGCATTTGATGGACTTTAACCTGAAGGCATCAACGTAAATCTTGAGAGATCACCTGTTCATATCTTGTCCTGAGAATATTAAGGTAATTAGGTTTAGACATCAATCACATGCTCGGGGATCTTCGGCATATCCCGGCATTGCCCGTGTATCATAGACCGAATCATGACCGATTTTATACGAGTAACTGATACCAATTCATGCAATGTACAGGTGACTTTTCTAACTTTTTTTCGTACCCATTCCAATAAACACGGAAATGTTACAGGTAATATAATTATGACAGTACATTAGCATGCAACCAATCATCGTCGGAACCCACGGAAAATATTCCGTATGTAACGGTATTTAAATAGCTGGGTAACCGAGATGAAAGCCTTATCTTTCGTAAGTTTAAACTTGAACACATAAAAAATGAACATTGCTTATACAAGAGCATGATTTTATGTAAAACGGAACTGATCGATTTACCATTAAAATCATTTATAACGCGGAATAGCAGAGACTATATTTGATATTTTAAAGCACTACTCCTTAGTCAGGCCCTAACGCTGACATTTAGACATATCTGCGATCATATTGGCTCTACAACAAAACCACCCTATTGGTCAGGCAGTGCGGGGACAGACAAAAAAGTAAAAATTTGGCTCGTTCCACCGCCCCCATCCCCCAAAACTTCTCCTCTCCGGGGGATGGGTGGGCGTCTGGTGCCTTACGAATTTCTGTACACCTAATTGCGGACTATATATGTCTGTTATACAATGCAGTTTATGCCGAAGGTCATGTGGCGAGTTTCTAGCTTACTGGTGTAGTTAGACGTAATATGTCCCTCTTATTTTGAGCATTTTACGGGCATGTGATTAGAATAACCAACATTTCAAACTTCTCAACATGAAATACTTCATAGTGCCTAGTTTCGAACCCTCAGCGGACCCTATTCGAATATTCCTGTTACTTCTTATTCGACATATTTCGGTATTTGTGGAATTTATTAAATTAAATGGTTAGCTAGATATATCTGTTTATCTTAATCAACATATCACTCTTCAGAATGTAATCTTTCTTCACATCAGCAATAAAAGAAACAGAGAAACTTGAGTTCAAAATAATACACTGAAAGGAATGTGATTTGATAAGCACTTATAACTATACCCAGTTTTATATCAAGGGCATGGAAATGTTTGAAATGAATTTTCTGAGACAGAGCTTTCGTTTCGCTTTTGCTTTTTTCTCAAAAGGTTTTAAACATTAAATATAGATTTCCTTTTGCTTTTTTATTCTTTAAATTAATTAAACGGTCATAATCAAGAAAGCAAAAGATGCGTTTTTGGATAGAGGTGTCTTACAAGAAAAAATATTTTCATAGAAGAACCGTAACTTAGAACTCGTGGTTGAACCATTTTGCTATGTTTGTATTAATATTATGATAATATACTATTAAACTTGTTAACATTTAGCACCTAAATATTCTACATGGACTTGTCCATCTTTTTGTCTTTGTAAAACCATCACATTTTGGAAATTTTTCAAAACATTTCGGAGACTGAAAATGCAGACCATAATCAGCGGCTGATTTTGATCTGCACTGGTCGCATTGGTAACGTGGCTGGTAGTTTACTCTCCGGATTACGATAAGAAGGAATTTACCAGAGCACAGTTCAGCCACCGCATTGTTCCTGGGTAAGATGTCGAGCCATTTCACCAGTACTAGTTGCCTTCATTTTCGCAAGGAACTGATAACTACTGTACATACTAGAGCAGCTAGCGGTACATTGAGAATGAACGTAGAAAGAATTTCATGATCAACCACAAAGAAAGTGACCTGCGCCATCCGGGATTCGAACCCGGATCGTCCGATTCACAGTCAAACGCTCTACCTATTAAGCTAACCGATAGCTTTACTTTAAACAACAGGTTTTGGTTTAATCAGTGAACGACATGAAAGCATCACATGTCAGGATTTATGCAATATTTACACAGGCAGTACAGGCTCTCAGGTTCGAATCTTAATCAGACACTTTCATCTTCTCCTATGACTTTAAATTCAATACGGTGTTTACATTATCGACGACAAGTGAGTCAGCGTCAATGACAATGTATCACTATGTAAAAATATATAGCTGCACAACTTTTCCTTTTTGGTTCCACAAAGATGTTACAAATGTAGTTGACATTTATACGTGTATAAGCGAACACTTACTTTGATGGAAAATTCCGTTGTAATCTATTCGGCTGATATTGACTAAGTATACTTATACTGACAAAGTTAGGCAAAATCAATTTATTCCCGCTTTATTCAAGCCGATAGCTTTAATATCAATCAATAGCCATCGCAGCTGTTATAGGTCAAAGTCTATAATTTCCATATAAAAGTCTCTTATCATAGTTCCCTTAAGAATTATTTGTTGATTTTATGAATCATACACATTTTTCTAACAAAGAGAAGACAAGTTTTTATGGATCTCAAAATTGGGCATTACGTTTGCAATTTATACGTTCAATACACGCACAACTTAACTGCTGTTACGAAAGCGAACGCAAAAGTTCTTCATTTAGGATCCGCTTCCGGACAATCGCAACTACTCGGCCCTTTCCGTCAGTCTTCGGATAAGGACCTCGAACACAATAGTATGAATACACAGAACGGATGCGGTATTTCGGTCTAACCTACGCTAATAACTAAACATGTAAACAAATAGTAATTTAATGCTGGGAGTCGTTTACAAGTTTATTTCCAATATATGTAGTAAAAGGTCATCTAAAATAAGTAATATCATAGGTACAAAAGCAAACAATTCATTATTTTTATATTTATTATTATGGTTGTAGAAACTGAAAGTACAAAAAACCAACCTGTTGACATTTCGTCGGATTTGTTTAAAATTGAACATCAGTGGGCATATTTAAATTACAAATTGTTGTCAGACATATTTTCAAGCAAAAGAGTACCGGAACAGGCATTAGATGTCAAATATATACATTCGTTTTACATTATCTCTGTTTCTGTTTACATCTGAAACCACGTGGTAGAACTACTTTCAATCCGTGTGTGTGTGTATTTGCGTTTATTTATACTCGCCACCGGTTGCCCATATGGACGAGTCCTCCAGAAGAGTATTAGTCATTTTATTTTTTTGGAGGATAGTGCAATTACAGATACAGAAAGATGCCCCAATTCCAGAAGCTTCTCCTGGTTCTTTAACGTGCCAAGTGTTTAAGCACCCATACACGGGACCTCGATTTAAAGTCTCATCCGAAAGACTGATTTATTTAGTAATTTTAGTTGGCCAGCCCGGGAATCGAACCCACAATGTCGAGATTACAAGTCTCGCGCTCTAACCGATTGAGCTATGCGGGCTGGCTTTTCAATCCGTATTGTTTCCGAGGTTAATATTATAGATAATAGCCGAGGCAGTTCCGAATGGCTTCCGCGTTGTTCAAAATTCATGAAATGAGACCTTTTTTCCCGAAATGGGATTATTAGTAAGTTCACAAACTTTCAATGTTTTTTTTTAAAAATCTGATTTATATAAATTTACATGTATAGTGTATAGTTATATATGTAGTTGATCTGAGTTTGTAGACACACTCTCGAACCCGTTCATTGAGTCAACCAGTACTAATAACAAACTAGTACTAAGCAATAAATGTGAAGTATTTTGCACAACAAAACAACAGCTTGTCCATGACGGTGTTTGAAAACCACGCGGCTTAAAGCAGTCCGCCCCAGAACAATGCTAATTTCCATAACAATTTTGAAAATGTATTTAAAAGTTAAATATTGTGAAGTGAACATGGAGAGTAATTTAGACATAGTCAACGGCGCATACAATCCATATAAATTACCGAAAAAGGTCAAATTCTGTTTGATAAAACAAGTCCCCAAAGTTCTCTCATGCAAAATAAAACGAAGTAGATTGAACTATAAAATAATAACAAAGTCATGGTTAAAAAATACCTTTGTACATGTATGTATATATTTGATACATTTTTCCTTAAAAGGAAAAGAAAAAGGAGCGGGCTCACTATTACTTTCAACAGTTAAGCATTTCACGAAAGGAGATCCTTTTCCCGTAATGGGGTACTTTGTCCGACGTGTTTATTTATTTTAATAACAGAATCACGGAGATTGAAGCACAAAGAAAATATGGGTGGGAGATAATAAATGCAACTCCAGTTGTGTAAAAACAGATAAAAAGTGACTTTTTTACAATGATATTTATTAATCATATTAAAATCATAAAAGTATCACTATATTTGATCTATGTACAATCTAATGCTTTCTGTTAGATGTCGAAACATAACTTCGTTTGTCAGTCGCCATGTTAATAATAAATATTAAAATATTTCAAAGGGAACAACTCTTGTGTATAAAAAAAGAATTATGTAATCGAGTACTTCTACAATATTAAATCAATACTTGTAAAAATTGGCTTTAACAAATCTTTTAACATCACGGCTGACAAAAGAAGTGTTAAATAACGAAAAAATCTATTCGAGGTTATAATCAAGAGTAAAACAAAATTGAAAACAAAACATAGTGAAAACACTTAAATAAGCATTTAAACAAAATCTATAAATAGAATAATTAAACATTGAGACAACATCCGGGATAATGGAATATTACATCGTTAAAGAATATCTTCCTCCAAATGGTTTTACTTAAGTTAAGCACTTTTAAAGCACTTTTTATTGCTAAAAACGAATTTCATCAAACATGTACTGTCTGTCTATGAAGGAAAAAAAGAATATAAAATGTAAAAACAAATATTTAGAACACTTTTTTATGTTATTTATTTTCTTTTAATTGTTTGAAATTTCATGTCAGTAAACTGTTAGCGCTTAAATTTGACTTAAATTTACTGATTTTCATCTTAATAGACAGTTCCCGACTTTAACAATATTTTAACCCCTTGCTAAAAGTGGCAGCCATTTTAGGAGTCAATTTTCTATAATAACAAAATTGACAAAATATAAAATAATCAATTAAAACAGCTAATTAAGCCGAATTTTTTTATGCACCAATATGTAAAATATTTTTATCAGTTTTCATGAAAATGATGGAATTATGAAATATTTTTACCTCATCTTAGGCATATACTATATATTGGAAATAACCCTCAAAATGGCGGCCAGGGGAAAAAATAATTGCTGTGTGAAAAGTATTTGAGCCATGTTACGACAAAACCAACACAATGGGTTTGCGACCAGCATGGATCCAGACCAGCCTGCGCATCCGCGCAGCCTGATCAGGATCCATGTTGTTCGCTTACAAACCCTATAACAAGTAGAGAAACTGATAGCGAACAGCGTGGATCCTGATCAGACTGCGCGGATGCGCAGGCTGGTCTGGATCCATGCTGGTCGCAAACCCATTACGTTGGTTTTGTCATAACGCGGCTCATTTATACATGTACCAGACAAACTGATGAACATGCATACAGAAGGTCAAACAATTAAAATGATACAAACACATTATACAATATAATAACGCCTAGCTTCTATGTACATAGCACACAAAAAATTAAAACAAAGTTTTAATTCAAATAAAATAGTCAATAATATCACAAATGGGGTAAAAAAATGAGACATTTAAAGACAGACTAGTTAAAACGCATCAACATTACATGAAAAACAAAACGCATTGAAATTATAAATTAAGTGACTCAGACTTTACATCACATTTCTTATTTATCAAGCTTTTTGTTTAGGGCTCAACATACATGTCTAAATTTAAAGATTTCTGTGAACGTCTGAAAGCAAAGGTTTTGCCAAAATTTTAATTTCAATTCAAAAATAAATGGACATATTGTTGCCTTTACAGCGATTACAAGTCAACACGATATTCACATTTAACACACATGAAAATGAATCAATGTTTAATACTTAAAATGTCTGTTATATTACCGATCATTTGACATGGGGAAAAGAAGTTTTATTGCATTCTTACGTAAGTTTTTTGTTAATTAAGATAAATAAATAGAAACACGCTGCTCTTCTCCCGACATTCATCATAAAGATATTAAAGGGTTAAAAAAAATTTTTTTTCTTCATCTTTTATCCCTCCATCCCCACAATGCGACCCTTTCCCCCCAAAAAAAACCTGAAAACCTTTTTTACTATTCTTAAACACGTTTCTCTCCATGTGTATATATTCAAATACAAATAAATATGTACTAATATCTAAATCAACTTTCCTTGTCCAAACCACGACAAAATTTAAGCGACAAAATGGCTCTATTTTCATTTTTGATGATGCTTCTTAAAGATAATAACAATTACACGGTAAACAGCATTTCGTGTTTAAAAAATGCTTTCCGTGTAAAGACATCTTTTTTCTACAAAAAAGAAACAACACACAGATAGGTTGTTTCAAAACTTTTTGAAAGCTCTACGATCGTATCTATTAAACGGGAAATCGTATGCGTGATCGTATCCATAGTTGGTGTAGCCATTTGAAGAGTTCGAATATGTCGAGGTCACTGTTTTAGTACTGTCAGACCTATCTCTCTCGCGGCCATCTTTGCGACTTCCGTTACTAAAAATAGATAATTAAAAGATCATAAAATCACAAAATTCTGTTAGTGATAAATTTTCATACAAATGTCTGCGTTACGTCAAGTAAAGCTTTTAATTATGTTGAAAATCTGGGATTATTTTTGTACATTTGTGAATAATGTGTTGTTAACCCATTTCTCGATATACACGCCTTTTAACGCCCTTTTTCACCCACCCCATTTTTTATTTTATTGTTGTCTCAAATGTGCCCCCTTCTGTTGGGGGGGGGGGGGGGTGAATGGGGCGGCAGTGACCCTCATCGCCAAGAAATTTTTGGACTTGTGAGAGGCTAAAAATGACCCCAGATCGATCATAAGGTAACGTGTAACCAACGCTGAAAAGCATTTGACTCTATCTCAATCCATTGAGAAGTCGCGGCACTTTGAAATCAATTTTAATGGAAAAAATCAACGCAAAATAGTGATTTTTGGCAATTTTGAGATGTCCCCTCGTTGCCATGGTAACAGGAAATTTAGGCCTGGGCATGTTGTTACAAAGGCAATGGTCTAGTTAACATTTGTGCCAAGTTTGATTAGTATTGAAACAGTTTTTTTATAGTTTTATAGCAATTTGAACATGTAACGGGAGACTTTTCAATGAAAACAGCCATTTTTCACAAAATGCTCATGAAGTAATTGGTTAATCAGGGATCGTTTTAAACAGGGTCTTTCATTCTTTTTGAAACACTCTGATTGAGTAAATGAAAAAAAATAAGTAAGTTTAATTTAGCGAATATAAAAATGCATGACATAAGATGTATCTTCTTCTAATTGCAGTTAAACAAGATAAGTTTTCAAGTTCAACCATATTTTACAGTGACACATAATTTGTATAATTGGGGTCCTTCAAATATATATTTTGTCTTCAAATATATATATGGTGTATCATTTTCAAAGATATGAACAAAATTAAACAAGTAAATCAGATTATGATAATGACACAAATGCATAGAGGAGATTCAAGTTTTTGTAGTCCGGTAAGACACCAGTGAAATTACGAAAAATATGTTTCACTGCAGTGAAAAAATATTTTTTTACAGTGAAAATACGGAAAATGAAAATACGCATTTTATATCGTCAATATTTCTCAATACTTCAATTATAAGTAAATAATAAAGTCAGATATGTAGAAGTTAAAACATTTAAATAAGTTAAAAATATACCTGTATGTACTGGGTATCGAGTTCGATGCTGAGAGTGACCTTGACACACGATCCTTTTCCACGCCCTTGCAGCAGATAAAGTACCACTGTTCACGTACTTTCTTCTTACGTACAACAAACAGTATAAAGATGAAGAATCCTTGAAGTGAGTTCAGAATCGTAAACACGTACTGGAATGTCAGACGGGCATCCGAAATGGCGAGATATCCGAATACCCATGTTAATCCTATAAAAATAATTTAATCTAAATTTCAAAGTACAAATAAACCATCGTCAATTTTGGTACAAAAACCTGAACAAAAGGCAATGACCAAGGCTTATATCTATAGAGTGAAGGCTCTGACAAAACAGGGACAAAACTTGTGCAAAAATACGTGCATGTTAATTAAATACATTTTTGCCCACATTTTGATGAAAACTGTTTGCTTTTGCTTCAAGTAAATAAACGTTTTATCAGTTTTTCTGATTTTCATAAAGTAAAAAATAGAAAGTACTAAAAATGACAATAAAGATAACGTACCAAGTAAAATAAAACTGGTAATGGCGGCCTGTAGGTTAGTCATCGCCATTTTCTGTTTCTTCTGGTTGCTACGCAACCCTTTTCCTCGCCGGAAGATACTGACAATGGTTACTATGAAGATTATAATGTTTATAACAATAATACATGTTATAGGGATGGCGAAGGCGTAGTAAAAGGCGGGAAGGTCCATCCAGCAACTGGAAAGATATAATTTAAATGTTATGTTAAATTGTATCGTCGACAGCACAGATTTTGATATGCAAAATAAATTTTATGAATTAACTAATATATCTGGGTCGTGATTAGGAGATTGAATAAAGTAGTTTAAATGTTTCATTTATATTTGTATACATTTTGGCAAAAAAAAAAAGCTGTAAAGTGGTTATCATTAAAGCTACAGCGAAATTTCTTAAAAGAAGGGAAAAAATAGTCCGAAACCGTGTATTCTTTAAAACGTTTAATTTATCTCTTCACACCGATATATTTACGATCATGAACGAAAAATGTAAGAATCGGCTGAAAAGGCAAATTTTTTTTTCCAGGATGTGGATCATTATTTCTGCAAATGCCTATAGGTATTGCTCCAACACTGTAGTGAGTTAAAGCCGAACAACAAATATAAAAACGTATTTTCTGTAGCGCATGCAAAAAAAGCTTCCTTTCCTTTACCTTTACCGTCTTTTAAAAAATATTGAAATAAAAAAATAATCAAAACCGTAAATGTTAAATATTTATATCAAAGAAGGAAAACAGCAATGCTCTGAATTCCTACAAAGGTATGTCATATACATATACAAATATATACACATATATCGTATGATCTACTTTAGTCTGTCTCTACGTCATACAAGATTATACAATTCAAAGCAATTCAATTTTTATTTTTTTCCAAAACAAGCTACAGTATACTTAGCCCGAACCAAAGAAGTACAAAGCGCCATAGTTAATAATTTCATTATTTTATGAAAAACCGCCACCAAGACCTACAAAATTACAAGACTGACACCAATACCATGTAAATGTATATAATATAGTCCTTTTTTCATGCTAAACCTCGTTACCTCTCGTGCATATACAGTTGATTAAAAAAACCTACTAATTTGGTCCACCCTTGTAGAGGGTGTAATCTACGCCAAGGACAGCAACGACCGGTATCAACGGTAATCCTTTAAAACAAAATCATATAAAATATTACTCTAAGGCACATTATGCCCCAGAAACGAATGTTTTTCCGTTTTTTAGAAAAGGCAAATATGAGCCGCGTCATGATTAAACCAACATAGTGCGTTTGCGACCAGCATGGATCCATACCAGCCTGCACATCCGCGCAGTCTGATCAGGATCCATGCTGTCCCTACATGTAATAGGGTTGGTAAGCGAACAGCATGGATCCTGATCAGACTGAGCGGATGCGCAGGCTGGTCTAGATCCATGCTGGTCGCAAACGCACTATGTTGGTTTTGTCGTGACGCGGCTCAAATAATGATTTTAGGACAAGTTAGATGCTGTAGGAAGTAGCCTCAATGTGAAATTATTTGTCAAAATAATAGCAAAATGTAAACAAATTATGTTTTTGTCTTCCATACAAAATATTTAAACACTATAACTGTACAAAGCAAAAGATAGTCCAGCTAGTTAGCAAATGAGTAACTGTTTGGAAACTCTTACAACAAAACAACAAAAATAAAAAGGTTTTAAGAAATAAGAATAATAGCATTTCTTAGGCATAATGGGCCTTTAAGTATTATTCTATTAATGTACAAGACGATAAAGAATGGAACAATTTTAATCACATTAGTGTCAAAGAAGCAAGGTGATGAAAATAAACAAACTGTAAAATAACGTTGAAAGTAGAGAAAATAACTTTGATTATAGGCAATTATGACTAAGAAATCAATTAGAAATTCTTTAGAAATGTCAAACATGTGTTTAGTACTGTTTTAATAATGGGTTAAGAGCAACTAGATGTATAACAACTGAAGAACGTAGCGTAGAACGATTCAAAATGTGTAGTATTTTCAAAAGGTAACAAAATGTAAACAATGTAGTATTTTGACTTCCTGACCAAATACTAATTCAATATATAATCACACCAATTGCCAACAGAGCAAAAGAGGCATACAACAGTTAATGTATAGGGCAAATGAGTATATTTTTTGGAAACTTTAACAAGATCTCAAAACTAGAAAGGTTTTTGAGATAGTATTTCTGAGGCAAAATGGGCCTTCATATATTAAGCCATGAATAGGAACATGCTTTTTATGAACATGTGTAGGCGGTAATCAACATTATTGTATGTTTAGAAGTATTAACGACGATGATAAAGATCTGGGCGATATTTTACAGCCGCCACCCATCAAATTCTAGGCGATATTTTGCAGCCGCCACCCATCATTTAATACTTGTTACATTTGTCTTTTCCATGAAAAAGAAACAATGCTCATATAAGACAAATTAAAATAAAACATTTTATGTTCTTATTGCAATGTGATATTGCAAAAAATTGAAACGGAAGTCTTACCCCAGGCCGGAAGTACAGTCTTCAGCGTAAATCGCGTAATATAGGTTCCTAGTATCTTGACGAATGTAAGGTATTGCAGTATTGCTTCCATCAACATCCACATGAACGAGACCAGAATGAGGTAATGAAGAAGCACGGCTACAGTTATACAGCCAAAGTAACTGTGTGTTTGTTTAATTCCGACCAGGAATACCAGCATTGACAGGAGCAGTGATAAGGACAGGTTGAACAAGCACTGCTGGGCGCGACCTTGACGAAGTTTTCTACAAGGCAAAGACAAGTTTAAAACAAGACATAT